AACACTAGTTTTGTAGAGATTTGGGGAGTAAAAGTCCCCTTTTCCTGTTCAAAGCCACGAGAGTTATGGTTGTTGCAACCCTTGCCTCAGTCCTTAGGCCAAGGTAAATTTTTAAGAATAATTACTTTCTTTGGTCCCATAGCAGACAGACTGGAGATTAGAGTTAATTTCCCTACTCATTTGTCTTGGATAGGAGAATGAGAAAGAAAATAATGGACTATAAAACTCTCCAAAGATAATCTAGATTACCCTGTTTTGTAGCATCAACTCCCATTCATCTGTCCTGAGTTGTCTGCCTCCAAAAGAACATTTTGTTGTTTCTAATGCCAATTAAGTATTTTGACTTCCTTCCCTTATTCCCCATAGAATGTTAGGTCTAGAAGACACCATTTAGTTTGTTTTCCATTCTCTTCCTCTGTAAGGTTTGCCCTATGCCTCAGATATTTATATAGCAAAACCACGATTCAGAAATAGTAGGAAGATTATTTACTTCAGCCAGTAAGAATTTGATGGCATATTTGACAGATACTAAAGTCCCTCCTTTTAATGACTAAGATATATAATTTTCTATTTAAATGAGAGAAGTAATTAAGCAGGACACTATTGAACATTTGGATTGAGGCACTACATACCGCTATAAACTCAGAAGAATTATTTAATACACATTTTGAATAATTGCAACCCCCGGCAAGGTCCAAGCATACAATTGCAGACTTCACAGGAGCAAACTGAACATTATCTAACCTGATGCTTGTCCACTAAGTCTGCTAAGGTTGTATGATAGTTTGTGTATTTCTGGACTGTTGATTTTACCTTGATGTTAACAAAGAGCCACTAGAACCTTGGTCTTACCTTCTGATGGCTATTGGGTAAAATTATCCCATTTTGAGGATTATTAAGACTATATTTGAATAAATACATGGAGAGGGCAATGAAGCAGTCAACATATGCTTGGTTATGCTATGGTAATCACAATAAAAATAGCAACAAAACTCTTCAGCATCTCAGTGGCTTAATACAGTGAATTAGTCAGTCTTCTGCTCATACTGCATGTACACTTCAGGACAGATCAAGTCTTTGTACTATCTGCTCTCATCCTAGATCAAAAGTGGGCTGGCAGACAGTCACCTGGCGTGCTGCTTGTCACTGTAGAAAAAGAGAAAAAAAGATAATTTTGGAGAGTTTAGCACAAAAATAACACATGCTCTGGTCAATAAGTAATGAAAAGAGTGTCACATGATCATGGCCTGAACCAGTGAGCTCTGAGATGTGGGAGGCTGAGCACAGTGGAGTGAATCTCAGGGAACTAATTCCCGAGGAGGCCCTTCTTGAGGTGTGGTCCCAGCTACTCTTCTCAAAAGGAGTTGACATCTTTACACCCTTGAGGCTGCGATGATCGGCACCTTGCTGGTTCCTGAGATGCCCTCAAGGCATCTTTCTGATCGCTGTATGAAACAGTTCCTTTACACAAGGTTTCTTCTAAGCCAAAATTTAACTCTTTCAAAATTTTCTTTGGCCTCAAATTCTCTATAAATATGACTGAAAGCAGCCAGCATCACCCTTGCCACAACCTGAATTTATGGCTGTCTTCAAATTTCCTCCATCATATTAATTACTCCACTCCCCTTAATCTCAATCTCCTACAAAGCCTGTGGGCATGGACAAACTAGACACATGTTCTGCACTAGTGTGACATTCTGGTCTCTGGTCCATGTGCCAGTGGAATAGTTCCTAACTGAAATCTATGAGCCTGATATTTATCATTTGCATTTCTTTCAGCCTTCTGACCAGAATCACTCATCAGGCTCTTTACATCATTTTAGGGTTTTTGTAGCTTTCATCTTCAAGCCTTGCAAAGATTATTTGAAGTTTTTCTGATAATAAAAACCAAAATCACTACAAATGTTCCATAAAATATGTAACAATGAATGCCATCTAATGAGTATGTATTTTCATTGTCTTGCATCATTTTTCATAGCATTTTTGGAATATTTTAATTTAAATAATACAGTGTCCAAATCACTAGAATTTTGCTTTCCTTCCAGTCATCCACTGAAAAGTCAGTCTTCAACTTTCTTATTTTTTCTTGGATTCCACTTGTTTTCTACTCATCTTCCAGTATACCTTCTTCTTTATGGGAGTGCAGGGCAGCTCCCTGGAGGTGTGCAGTAAAATGCAGCTGTGTAGTTCATCTCTTTTGCCCAAAGCAGTGCTCTTCATGGTACTCAAGAAATAAAGGTACCATGAGAACATTATGACCTCCAACCACCAGCTTTCATGGTGGCTGGCATTGGTAGCTGGCAAGAGGGAGACCCATTTATTCTTTTTAATACATAGTTTTAAATTGCAGAAATTTTGAAAAATACTCACAAAAATGCCCCACACAGGACAACTGTGGATATATTCAAGTTTGTCAGAAATATCCTGTGAGTAAGGTACAATGAAGCTTAGTGATCTTTCTTGCCAAAGAGAAAAAGAATGAGTCCCAAGCTACACATTACAGGGAAAAACATCTCTCCCACAACAGGCAGCCTGGGAAAGGCACTAGAATAATAAATAAGAAGAAGCAACTCTTGCCAGGTAAATTTCTTTGCTTAATAATTTATGTTTCCTATCTTCCTTTTCAGTCAGTATCAGGCTTCATCTTGTTTATATACTTATTTCTTTAGAAGTTGTTCATCAGAGCAGCTGCCTAAGACTGTTCCATTTTGTAGACAAGGTTGAGGTCAAGTTCTTCATGTTCTTTACTACAGGTGACAGTGTTACGTGATATTCACATGTCATCATTCTTGATAGCATTGCACTATTTCTTGTAGTGGTGTTTTGCGTTTTTGCAGACATATTTTAACGGTGAAGGTATCCTTTTCCTTTTTATTAGGTTGTAGTTTTGCTTGTCATTTTAGTAGCTGACATAAAGTCCTAAAATAAATAAATAATTGTAATGCACGTTTTGCATTTGCTGTATAAATTGATGGTTATGTTTATTTACTCTTTGAGGAAAATACTTATAACCTTTATTCTTTTGAGGGCTCAAACAACCTTAAACATAAAAATAAAAACCTAAAGACAAAATGCAGATTTAAATACAAAATGAAAAGCGCCCAATAATCACAACAAATTAATAATAGTATTTTCACTATTGGCAGAATTCTTATTTTGCTTTGAATGTGTTGGCTGAATAAGATCAGTTTAGTGTAACTGGAGAGCTAGTTTTCGCTTTTAAGTGCAGGGATAAAAATAGAATGAAATTATTGTTTTAGCGTCAGGTTAGTTTTATTTTTCATGACAATCCAAAGAGGTTTCTGGCTCCACTTCTCTTTCTCTTCTTCATTTAGTTTTGATTCTCCTATCACAAATGTTACTCACAGCCAACCAGCCAAATGAAAAGTACGGCTTGATTAAGGATCTCTTTTGTCAGTAATTTGTGCCTAATGTTTTTAGCTTTCCCATGGGCTGTTGTAGAAAATGGTAAATCTGGTTTAAATGAAACCTGATCCTGTTAATGGTTTAATAGCAGCTGCCACAGGGTTACAGGAGTTTTCAACAGATGCCTCTGTTTCATTTTATTCTTACACTAAGTCTTGAAATATTTACGTAAATTGTACAAAATACATTCACACACTTTTGGTTAAATGTATTGTAATCCAGTCTTTGAAAATCCCTATTGTTTACACAAAATTTAAAAAAGAAAGTGCAGTCTATAATTTTTTTTAAAATAAAAGATTATCCATGGTTTGCATTTTCCTGGAGTTTTTAAAGCCCGAAACATTAGGCTCCATGTCCACATCTGGGCATCTGAGCACTGGTGAATCTAAGACGCACTTGTCTTTATTCTTAGTGCTATTTATTTAGCACGGACAAATTGCTTGTACAGGGATGTGCATCAGAGTGTCAACTGAAATAAATACAGTAATCACAAAATTAACTAGGACTCTATTCTTTCTTCAAGTGACCATTAGAAGTAAGATTAGTTTTTCTAAAATAAGTAGTTCAACTACTTTTCATGAGGCATTTATTCCATGAAAAGCACTTAGGCTGAGTAGATGTACAACACAAACATGAATGATAAACAAAATAAGCAGCGATCATAATGGAAGATAGAAATAATTGTATGATTGTCTTTGTGTCCCATTGCATTGTAATTTGTCAGACATTATTATATAGCAGTGATAGAAGTGAACTGAGCTACAGGTTCTGGATGCTGAGAAGTCAAAGACCAAGCCACTGGCATCTGATTAGGGCCTTCTTCTATGTCATAACACCATGAAGAGGATCACGGAGTGAGACAGCGTGTGTGTGCTAGCTGCATTCTCTCTACTGCTTCCTATAAGGCCCCTGGTGCCTTCCTGGGAAGCAGTGCCAATAATCTGATCCAGTTCTAACTACTTCTCAAAGGTATCTCCTCAAGTACCATTAATATAGGAATTAGAGTTTTGTGTTTCTAGCACAGAAACTATTTATTTATTTAGCCTTTCTGAGACAGGATCTCACCATGCAGTTCAGGCTGGCCTTGAGCTCACTTTGTAGCCCTGACTAGTCTCGAACTCATAACGGTCCTCTTGTCTCAGCATCCCATGTGCTGGGACTACATGGCTATGGTGTGTGCCACCACACACGGCTATGTGAACTCTTCAGGGGAGCCATTCAGCTAACTCTAGCAACAATAGATATACCAGCTCAGGTAAAGAGGACTGAAAATACGGAATGCCTTGTAACCTATGATGATCTTGATTTCTAAAGCTTGCAGAATGTGGAATCTTGAGCTGTCAGGCCTAACTTGTCTTGTTGGAGTTACGCTTTCATGATGGTGTGGTTGCTTAAGTACATGGGGCTGGAAGAGTTATGTATACAAATTCATACAATGGTGAGTTTTCGAGGGCCGACAACCAGAGAACAGAATAACTCTTTACCCAATTCTAAATTGTCACAGACATCATCTACTGTGATATGTTCTAAAAATCCAAGCATCTCAATATCGCCTTGTCTTACTGTCTCTCTAGGGACTCCCTCAGAAGAAAGATGTGAAGCCTGGCATGGCGCTCCTCTTTGAGCTGTGTCTCCTTCATGGGAAGTCTGCTTGCGCTGATCAGGCTGTGGGCTGGGCAGCCTTTCCTCTGTGTGATAACAGCTTTGGTATAGTGGAAGGAAAATTCAAGTGTCCCCTTCTGCGAGGGCATTATGAACAGAAGCTCAGCAGTTTCAGGGAAATTGAAGATCTGATCTGCTTGGACTTGGACCACTGGCTGTGCAATCTCTATTTTCAGGTTTGTAATATGCTATTGTATCTAGAAAGATTTTACATTTTTTTCCCAAAGCTAATTTCTAGCCTTTGGCTTCCTTTCATGAAACTGAAAATTTTAGCAAGTTTCACAAAGAAGCAAAAGGAATTATATCTTGGTGCTAATTTTTGATCATGTAGATTAAATCAAAATATAGAAATAGGGAATAAAATTCTAGAGGTAGTGGGAATGTTAAAGGTAATATAATTTCTGTGTTGTAGATGGGTCAGAAGTGCCACCTCCAGTCTCCACCCCTGAGCTCGACACCTGTCACTGCTGTCCATAATTTGCAGATTTATCTCAGCGTGGTATCGGTGGTGCCATACTATGTTTCTTTACCAAAACAGCTTGCCAGATTTCTATTGTGTCCTGGTATTGGCAGACGTTCATACAGTAGATAACTAGTGATGGGGTTGGGGATTTAGCTCAATGGCATTAGCGCCTGCCTTGCAAGTGTGTGGTTAGGGTGTGTTTGATCCCTTGTACCGATAAAAAAAAAAGATAAAAAAAATTTAAAAAATTTAAAAAAGAAGATAACTAGTGATTCAGGTGTTCACAGGACTTGAGCAGCACCACAGAATTCCCTCCTGTGGCCTGGCCACATCAAAGGGTGTGCATTTTCGGTTTACCTCAGATCTTTAGAAAAAACTAATATGAGCCTCTTCGATTTATTGTTATATATGTGGCATTCTGTCTGCGTTCTAATCCATCCTCTCACAGAAATGATGTTCCCTAAATTCCTTCTAGGTAACCATCAGTGAGGATTCAGAAAAGAAAGTGGCAGTGTACGTTCAGTAGAAAGCACCCCAATACATTTGGGGTCTCACTTCGTCCTACATATCCAAATATGTTCTTTCTGATTTATTTTTTTCAGGTTGCCTATATCATAAAGTACATGGATTGTTCTTTCTTGACTACACTTTTATTTTCTGTCTATCCATCTATCCAGTCATCTTTCCATCAATCTATCTTAAATCAAGAATAAAGGTACTAGAGGGAATAAATCTTATTATAGTGAATATGAAAGGCATGTATAGCTTTTAGTACTCTTTCACTAATTGTTACTTAAAATTCAGTATTTTATAAATTGTGGCAAAGTACTGACTTTGTTTTTCATAAAATATAATAATTCATGTAGTACTGGTACTACTTATGAAACCTATTTATATTTGAGATTAAATCAAGAAGTGAGGATTCACATTTATAAGATAAAAATGTTATTATTCAAACAGTGGTAGAATAATTTGAATTGATCAAAGTCTATTAGAGTTTGAAGACTAACATTTTCCTCTTCTTCTGGTTTATTTTAAAATAATCTTTGTGGAAAAAATTTTGTAATTTAGCTATGGGGCTTGGCAGCCCTTTACCATTCCAGATGGATGTTATTGTCCATCAACTTTCTTGATCAAAAATATTAGAATTTTTCTCTTTCTGCGTATTTCATGAAGAAAGGAAAGAGTCTTATTAGTGAAATAAAAATGGAACTATGCAAAACGTGATAATCTTAGGGGCTGGTGTGTAGCTCAGTGGGCCAGTGTTTACCAAGTCTGAGTAAAGTCCTGGGTTCAAGCTTCAACATCACAAACAAAACATAAAGTTATAAGATGCACGCTTTCTTTAGTAAAAGAGAAAATAAATAGAAATGTAGGTGCTTTTCTTTCACAACGACGAAAGCAAAAACATTTGCCTGAAAACTTCATTTTCCATTTATGTGAAATTCTAAAATGTGTGGGTTTTCCCAGTGTGAGTTTTAAATGCAAAAAGTTGCTTAGTTGCTCACAAAAGAACAACTTAGACTTAGAAAAAGAAAAATAGGATAAGACAGATGATGGGATAGAGAAAGTGGTTTTTGCAACGCAAGCTTGGAAGAGATGAAAGGAAACGAGGAATCCAAAGTAACTTCTGATCCTGGTCAGTCCGTGGAGAGGAGCTTCCACAGTCAAAGAGGGGGTGGCAGAGCTGGGACTCCTCGCTTCACCATGAGTCTTCTGTGTCATCAGAGACTGAACCCAGGTCTGCCCTGTGTGGGAAGGACGCTGGCAGACTACTGGCAGGCCGCTCCCGGAGCACCTGTGTGAGGCCTAAGAGGGAAAGTTAAGCAAGCAAGATCTCCGAAAAGTAACACCTGCCCAGGAGTCTTTGGTTCACTTCCTCGCGCTTCTGAGTATTTTGTTTCTCATGTTGTTGATTGTTCTCCCCAACTAGTTTACTGTTCAAATTTTAAACATAAGATCAAGCAGAAAAGTGGCATGTGGGTGCCCCTTTACTCACCATTAGGTGCAATGTCTTAACTTTTATCTTTCAACTTAAAAATGTTACTTCTTGGAAAAAGTAAACACTGTATGCATATTTACTAATATCACCCCAGTATAAATGTTACCCAAAGTGTTCTTTTTAAAACAAAAGTTTCAAAAAATAAAAATGAAAACAAAACATAACAAAAGCAAATGTATGAATTAGTGCAAAAAGATTTCATTCATTCTAACATAACTGAAGACCTGTAAGAAATACGGAAATTGTTACTTACTTTTTAGATGTATCAGATCGTCACGTTGTGCTTGAGCAATGTTAACAATGTATGTCATATTTTCAACTATTTTCACGCATTCGCCTCCTAACAGGTAGTCAAGTCTCCTTTTGATCATGTGTATAATCAAAAACTGCACGAAAGCCCAACTCGACTTTCCCCTGAATTTTCCGTGTGTTTCACGGCTGAAGCAGAGAAAGCAAATTTAGGCATGGGCAGCCCAGCTGGCTCCTCAGGGAAGGAAACCCAGAAAGATGTTCAAATGTCCATGGAGCGTGCAGCTGAGCCCCTCTTACATGCTTCTCAAGGTTGGTTGATTTGTTTTTGTTCGCATTCAGTTGCTAATATTTCAAGTTGTACTTATATATTAAAACCAAGAAACATGAATTCTTTCACTAATGTATTATTATCTATGCAAAGCCATTTCAAGACAATGGTGGCTGTTAATAAGAAAATCAGTTTTCATGTCACACTGTTACATAAATAAATATAAAATTATTTCATTGAAACATAAGCTTATGCATAGCCTGTTGCTCTTAGGATCTTTTTAGGTATTTTTCTGGAGAGAGTTTATTTATTTTATTGTTTTATACAGTATTTTGCATTGTATAATACAAGTTGTTTGTCCTTACTATTTATGCTGCTTCTGGTTATATTCTATTTGACACCAGGCCAGCACGATCACTTACGTATTTATCTTTGCTAGGCATGCACTCGCTCCTGGGGCAGGCTAAGCATGTGCTAGGCCTCTGAGCTCCACCCTTAGGCGCTGTGATGACCATCCTTACACAAATCCTCCTTGTGCAAAAGGGTGAGAATCTCACCAGACCAAAGACACCCAGGGTCGGAGGCACTGACTCGTATGACTTTCGAGGCGCATGGGCCGGTGGTGCACTGCTAGCCCTGTGCTGAGAGCTGTGGAGAAATGTTGCCCACGTCCCACCACTGCTGGTTACTGTCAGGCTTTCAGAGTCTGCCAGTTCAATTTCAATGGAATGGAAATTCTGTATTAATTTGAAGTTTTTTAAATAAAAGTAAATCTGGCCATTTTTTTCACCCTATATTTTTGTTAACCATTGGGTTTTACCTTATGTGAAGAGCCTGTTACTGTATTTTGTTGGCTTTTCCTTTATCATTTTTTTCTTATTGATCTTTAAGAATTGTGTCATTTTTCTTTTTAAGGTAAAATGAATCATGGGAAATATTTTCAGATTCATTTTTTGATTTTTATCTGAATGTTTTATTATTATTGATTTTTCAATCAATTCATTTACTTTATTAGCAATCTATTAACTTGGTCAGAGTATTATATTATCTTCTTAGTGTTAAACTTTATTTCCTTCTGTTAAAATTTTATTGACTGGGCAATATATTCATATTATTCAAAGTAAAATTTGTTTCCTTTCTTTGGTATCCAGCTTGCTTACTTTCCCTGGAAGAAATCAATGTCTTTTATATATATATATTTCAATTCAATATGTATTACACATCTCAAAGAAAATGTATAAAATATTATAATTTTGAAATGCCACTGAACTTTAATTATATTCCCTTTTTATTTCTATTACTGACTAACTTTGTATTCTTTTCTGTTTTAGTCAGGCTTTAGTTTTTGCTTTTTCATTCATTTTTAAAATGTGCAGTTATTAAATTTGCCTCTATTGACTCTACTTTCTGATTTTGTGCTTTATTTTTGTGTATTTCCCTCTTAAACTTTTAATATTTTTACTGCTCTTTTCTTTAAATTTTCTCCTAGGTTAGTATTTTAATCTTTTTTTTTTTTTTTTTTTTTTGGTATTGGGGATTGAACTCATGACCTCATGCTTGCCAGGCAGGTGCATATGCCACTGAGCTAAATCCCCAGCTCAGTATTTTAATCTTTAATTTAAAACTTACCTCATTTATTTGCACCTTTCTCTGATCAATCACCAATTTTGACTGCATCTGTGCATTTCTCTGTAACTCTGTCTGTGCTTTATGTATTTTAAATGTGTTAGGATCATGTTTCTATATAATTGTTATTGTTCAGAGAATGTTATTTTTTATCTTGAAGTCTCCTTCAAGAGATAGTCTCCTTCTAGTTGTCTATTAAAACGTTTGAACTTATATTCAATTTCTTCTGCTATTAGTACTATTACCTGAAATTTTTTCGTATTATTATTCTTGCATTGTGTGGTTTGGGTAAATTGTAGTTATTAGCATAACTCTGAGTTTTCTTTAATTTTAAACATGTAGGTAATATGTTTTTTAAAATAAATATGCCAATCAACTTTTTATTACTATAATAAATTTCCAAGATAATAAACTTAGAACAGTTTTATTTTGGTTCACGGTTTTGAAGGGTGCAACCCATGGTCAGTTGATTCTTTTACTTTGGGCCCATGGTAGCTGTTCATAGCCAAAGGTGGATGGGGGAGCAAAATTGCTCATTTCATGACCAGAAAATGAAAAGAGAGGGAGAGAAAGGAAGCCCCAGAATTCCTTCAAGAGCGCACTACTGGTCACTGAATCCTCTCGCCAGATCCCACTTTGTGAAGTTTCCAGCAGCTCCCAAGAGCACCAAGCTGTTGACCAAGCCTTAAACACATGGATCTTTGGAGAATATAGTTTTTGTAATTTTTTTTGGTGTTTGTAATTCTTCATAGTATCATATTTGTACTTTGTAGTATTATAGTTTTGTAATCATTAATTACACTTTATTTGCTACCTTATATTTTTGCTTCTTAAAAATTCTTTTCTTCAGTGAAAAATTACTTTGATTTAACATTGGTGTTTGTAATCTATAGATTCTACCAATTATTTTAGAGACTGTTCTTAATTTTCTTATCTGCACATTTAATCATACATTATCTTAAAGAATGAAAGCTCACTCCAAGGTTTTATTCTCTTCCTTGACGTGACAAGAACTCTTCTGCAGTATTTCGCCAGTGAATGACTCTTTCTATGCTCACTGTGGTTGGCTTCGGTTTCATGTTTTCATTTTAAACACAGAGTTTAAGAGTTATTCTTTTTAGTCATAATAGAAAATCTATTGACACATTCAGTCAATATCTATGCTTTATAATATTTTAAATTTAGCATATCTTCACTCTGGCTTCATTTTTCTTGCTGAAATAGATCTTTAGCAATTCATTTAGAGTTTGAATGTTTCTTAGCCATTACATGTCAGAAAGTCTTAATATTTTTCTTACACCTTTGGTGGGTCATTAATCCATGTGTAAAATTCTAAGTTCGGAATGATTTTTCCTGACCTTTCTGCATTGTTTTTGTGTCTAATGGGACTGATCAGGAATCAGTGTTAACTGGGGAGTCACTAAAGGATCTCCGAAAAACAGTGATGTACTTCAATTTCTATTTTATGCCAGATAGTTTTTCAGGAGGGTTTATGGAAAGAGAATTTCTAGAAATAGTTCAGCTAGGGAAAATTTAGAGTAGTGCAAGCAACAGAAGAGAGACTTTGGGGAGATGCAGAGAGAAGAAACTGTAAATTCAGGGAATATTAAAGAGATGCAATGGAGTGACTGTAAAGTGATACTGGCTCTGTTGATTGTTAGGCTTTGGTGATGAAGCATAAAAAAAGGTGACTCCTAAAGTTTGCATAGGGGTAGCAGTAGCTATCACCATAAGTTTGGTTTTGTGCCTATTGGGTCTGAGATTTCCATATTATATATGTATCTGAATGGAAATGCTCAGGAGACCACAGAGCAAATGGACGTGCAGTTCTCAAAGAGATGGAGCTGAGAAGGGAGAGTGCATTCCCAAAGGGGCATGGACATAGAGTCCAGCTAAAACAGCTAGTAGTTAAGTGCAATCTCGGAGGGTGTGCAGAATATTGAAGCGTTGCATTGAGAGTGAAATTCTGGGAAAGAGCCGTGTTTCAGGAGAAGGATGCTACCATGTCGGTCAGACCCAAAGCCACTGTGCCATTAACCTTCTGCCTTGCTGTTTTGTTCAGCTCATTGGGAATCATATCACCTCACAGAGAGTGATAAACAGTGCTTAAAGGACGACTAGAGTTTTTCAGTTACCACGGAGATTATACTCTTGTTGGGCCAAATAAACTCTATTGATTGCCAGTTTGAATTCCTCGGATCCCCGCTTCCCTAGAACGTAGATCCTGTACAAATCCTGGAGTTCTGTATCTACTTTATCTGCTTCACAGCGACTCAGCCAAGATTCCCCACTAACAACTACTGAGCCACCACCTGTTCCAGACAACAGTATTACAGCATTTGATAGGGTAATGTGTACTTGGAAATGGTATGTTGACATTTTATGTGCAGGACATGAATATCAAATTATAAGTCACTGGTTTTAAGTAAATATTTGTTAAATAAATCAGAAATATGATATATGGTGAAACTAGGAAATAAGTGCCATAAGTGATAAATCAGCTTGATCAAAGTGTATTGTTTCTCACAGTTTAGGTCTTGAATTTGATTTACTTGAGGCTGAGAAGATAGGAAGTGCCTGACGTTATGGTCTAGTTGTAAAAGATAATGGTTAGCAGTAGTTACTCTTAAAAGGTACCTTTAAGCTAACTGCAAGCAATTTTTATTAAAATTTAACAGGTTTTAGACTTTAAATTTTTAAGTGTAAATATATGAGGTGATCAATACTAAGTGTTAGTATGTTCAGTGTGGCTCGGGGGAAAGTATGGGGCAGAGATAGCAAACAAACACAGGATGTATCAGTCTGAGAAGAGCAGAGGGCACCATTAAAGGTGCTCCACACCAGAGACTGGGCAGTGCCATGGTTAATTGCACTGTATGTCTCCTCATGGGGAGTTTTGTTGAGAACACCCACGGGCATTGTGGGTAAGTGTCCTTTAGCAGGAGAACGACTTTTACACCAGGTCTCTGTTGAATCCAGTTAACCAGACCTTTCAGCATGAGGGTCTGGGGTGTCTTCATTCTGTAAAAATTTTCCTTTAGTATTAGCATATCCTCCATGTAATCTGGGTGCTTTGATTTTAGTATGTCCTGCAGAATTCATGTGCTGAAAGTTTGGCCCCCAGTATCACAGTATTGAGAGGTCAGACATTTAAGAGGTGACTCTGTCTAAAGGGCTCTGCCTTTATAATCATGTTAAAGGAATACTGAATTATTGAGGGAGTGAGTTAATAATTATAAAAATGAGTCTGGTATAAAAATCCAGTTTGTTTCTAGAAAAAACTTTATCATGCATCCATGAGCCTTTTACCAAGAAGGGCACCCCTGGATGTGATGGCTGGATCTTGGACTTACTAACCTCAGAATGAATGGTTAGGAATGATCCTTTTTTTTATTAATTACCTGTCTTCAAGAAT